CCGAGGGCACCACGCAAGCCAGAAGGCCAGGGAGGGGCGCTGTGCAGCCCGCAAGCATCTTAACGACATGAGTAAGGGTGGGTGTTCACTCCCCTGCAGGTCTCCTCCTGGGACAGTTGTGGCAAGAGCCTGGAGGAAGACTAGGTGATCCCTTGCATGCTCAGTGGGCACAACCTGAACTCACCCCAGGAAGACAGCGGGAAGGAGAGAGAGGGGGGGGGAGAGAGAGAGAGAGAGAGACAGACAGACAGACAGAGAGACAGAGAGAGAGACAGAGAGACAGAGACAGAGAGAGAGACAGAGAGACAGAGACAGAGAGAGACAGAGACAGAGACAGAGAGACAGACAGAGAGAGAGAGACAGGAGAGAGAGAGAGACAGAGAGAGAGAGGCAGAGGCTGAGGCAGGCCCACCCAGCACTCCTGTGCCAGAAGCTGGTCTGCTGAGGGCAGGCAAGCTGTGGCAGACCGCAGACTGCCCCGTGTGGGCATCCCGTCATATCTGCACCTAAATCATAGCTCGTTTGCCCCAGAGCGGGAAAGGAATCAGGAGTCTGGGAAGACCTGGAGAAGGCAGGAGGTGGAGGGAGGGAGGCGTAGAGGTTGGCCCGTCACTGGTTTCCAGGTTTACGCTCGGGCCTCTGGGGAAGAGAGAAGCAGGGGGGTTTCCTGAATGCCGCCTCCCCCCAATTCGGCCTGAGCTCCATTTCCAACTCCCCGGCTGGCTTTATGGCTGGTATAAAACAGCTGTTAGCCATCTCCGGGGTGGAGAGCACTTCCTGCCCGTGTTGTGGGCAATTACCGCCAGCTGCCCATGTGGGCTTTTTGGGTCGCCACCCCAGAGACCTGATGGAAGGGCAAAGGAAGCAGGAAGGACTCAGGGTGCGAGGGTGGTGGCCCGGGAAGGCGGATGCGTGACCGGAGGGCAAAGGAAGGAGCCGGGGCCCGTAACTGATACCGGGGAACTGGAGCTCTCTCCTGGGGTTCCTAGTTTCACTGATAAAAGGGTTGGAGAGTGTCTTAGATGGTGGCTCAAGAAGCTCCCCAGGGCGGGAAGCTGTGAACCCCGGCCGCTGCCCCAAGGGGAGAAGGGGAAAAAGTCACTGCATTCGTGTTGCTCCAGCACAGAGTTTACTGGGGCCGGGGGAGCTTTAGAGAAAGTATGGAAGCCCCCAAATGCCTGGAAAGCCTGTGTGGGATCTGGCCGGCATCAGAAAGAAGGAGACGGAAGAAAGACCTCAGAAAATTGGCACCCCATGAAGGCAGGCGGACCCAACCGAACCTCGTGGTGGGTTCTGCTGGTCGGGGCTGTGTCAGGGAGGGGGATCCCAGGAAGGGAAGTTCTAGGATCTCACCAAAGGACTAATTACTCCTACACTTTGGCATTGCTTAAGGTACATCTGACTTCCTAGAGATAGTCCCTCCTTCCTGAGCAAGCCAGATCATTGACCCCGCCCAACGGGATGCTAGATCTCCATCCAGGCCACAGAGTTCTTCCTTTTGACCAGAAGGAACTAGACCCTCATAGGCCATGGGTACTGCTATGTCAGGGACAGGCAGCTCTCTCTGCACTGTCTCTAGGGCTGTGACGTACTCCCCTGCAACCCACCAGTTTCAGGGAAGGGCCAGCCTTGCTGGGAAAGTGCTTAGGTGAGTTCCACCGAAACCTGGCTGCCCACGCAGAACTGGGAAGTTTCCTAGCCACCTTTCCTGCACTCCAGAGAGTGACTCATTTGGGGTGTCACAGCTGGGGAGTGACACAGAGGCCAGGTGACAGCCTCTGGACACATCTCAGCTGGACAGGACATAGAAGTGTTGAGATATTTAAACAGGGGAGAAGGCAGCTGGGTCAGCAAGATAAGTTGTGACAGTCGTAGACGCAAAGAAACCATCTAGTCTATAGTGATAAAAAAAAAAGAGAGAAGAGCTGACCCTGCTTCTGTAGTAAATTCCAGAGAACACAGCAGAGAGACTGCTGGCCACAGACAGACAGCAGTTAGCAACGTCACGGCCATCGTTGGTTACTGGAAGCGAGTGTGATCGGTGGACCCAAAGTCAGTGTGATAAGAAACAAGTTATCTGCTGGCTCTCCAAGTGGCAGGCCACGGGTCCTTGCTAGTTATAAGGGGGAAAGAACCAGTAAAGTCATTGTGGGAACACAGAGCTCTACAGAGGACCTGGCTGGAGTGCTTTAAAACCATCGAGGCTAGACAGACACAGCAGGACCACAGTGCTGTTTCAGGAGGGATGAAGGAAACTCAAGGAAATGCCGCGAGGGGTCCTGGCTTAGATCCTTAGCCATCAATAGGACAGCTGGTGAAGCTGGGATGGGATTTGTTGGCTAGTCCATTTCATGTTGCTCTAACAAAATACTAGCGGCTAATACTGTATCAAAAAAGAGGCTGAGGGCTGGCGCCCTCTTCTGGTGTGCAGCCATACATGCAGGCAGAATAAATGGGAGGGAGGGAGGGAGGGAGGAAGAAGGAAGGAAGGAGGGAGGGATGGAAGAAGGAAGGAGGGAGGGAAGGAAGGAAGGAGGGAGGGAAGGAAGGAAGGAGGGAGGGAAGGAAGGAAGGAGGGAGGGAGGGAGGGAGGAAGGAGGGAGGAAGGGAAAGAAGGAAGGAAGGAAGGAAGGAGGGAGGGATGGAAGAAGGAAGAAGGAAGGAAGGAAGGAAGGAAGGAAGGAGGGAGGAGAGAGGGAAGGAAGGAAGGAAGGAAGGAAGAAGGAAGAAGGAAGGAAGGGGTTGAGGGCCAGTGACATAGCTCAGTGGTTAACGGTGATACTTGCCACCAAGCTGATTTTGATCTTTGGAACCTACACGGTGGAAGGAGACCCACATGTGTGACCTCCACGTGTGTGTTGTGACACGTGCACACGTGCACGCGTGCGTGCGCACACACACCCCATTTTTAAATAAAAGAGGTTGACTTAGTTTAGCGCTCTGGATGTTCAAGTGTAAGGGGCCAGCATCTGACCCACTCTGGTGAGAGGCCTCAAGGCAGATGGCATGGCAGTCTCGGGAACACACCGCACGGTCCAGCAGGAAGCAAGGGCAGCAGCGCAGACGACTGAACTCATTTAGTAGCAGCGCATTCCTGAGGCCCCCTCCAGCACTGCCTCATTGACAACCATCAGATCTCTCTGGTTACGTGACACTGACAATGGGGAAAGCTAATTGACTTCTCTACAAGAACACTGTTCCTAAAAATCGTTTTAAAATAAAGAAGCAAAAGGAGGGGTAGGAAAACAGGCTCTGGGCTCTCGTTGAACACTTCCGGGCCTTATTCTCTGACCCACTGATGGCTGTTTAGTCTCGAGGAGGTCTGGTACTCCCCCGTCTTGCGAAGAGACCCATGGGGTCTGGCCCTCCGCTCTGGCGGTCTGCGGACTTAGAGGAAGGCAAATCCCAAGCTCACGTCCACTCCTCAAGTCTGAAGGACCAACCCCACGGAACCCCGGTGCTGACGGGAGGGTGGTGAGTTCAAAGGCAGCCTGAGCTGTGGAGCAAGTCTGAGGTCACGTGGATTACAAAGCGGGGACTCCTTCTCCAAATCAGCATGAGTCTGGGGTGGCAGCAGACACCTATGAGCCCAGCGTAGGGACTTGGGAGCAGGAGGCCAGCTTTGGCTCTGCGAGAACCCCCGTCTCCACAATTAACTGACCAAACGAACAAAGGAGACGCGCCTCTAGGTGAGAGCCGATAAATAAACGCAGACTTGGCGCAAGGCCAGCTCCCAGCCAGCCTCAGTGCCAGCAACTCCAGCTCCTCTGAGACAAAGCACTTACCAAACAGTGGCCGCGTGCGGCAGGGGCCTGGCCTGGAGGAGGAGGCCCTGGACCACAGGAGAGACGAGCCAGCCACATACACACACCCACACTCATTCATTCAGTCAGACACATTCATTCAGTCAGACACATTCATTCATTCAGTCAGGCACACTCATTCATTCAGTCAGACACATTCATTCACTCAGACACATTCATTCATTCACTCAGACACACTCACCCATTCATTCATTCACAGACACACTCATTCATTCACTCACACACTCATTCACTCACACACTCATTCATTCACTCAGACACATTCATTCATTCATTCACAGACACACCCATTCACTCAGACACACTCACCCATTCACTCACAGACACACTCATTCATTCACTCACACCCACACTCACCCATTCACTCAGACACACTCATTCATTCACTCACAGACACACTCATTCATTCACTCACACACTCATTCATTCACAGACACACTCATTCATTCACTCAGACACACTCACCCATTCACTCACAGACTCATTCATTCATTCACTCACACCCACACTCACCCATTCACTCAGACACACTCATTCATTCACTCACAGACACACTCATTCATTCACTCACACACTCATTCACTCACACACTCATTCATTCACTCAGACACTCATTCACTCACACACTCATTCATTCACTCACACACTCATTCATTCACTCAGACACACTCACCCATTCACTCAGACACACTCATTCATTCACTCACAGACACACACATTCATTCACTCACAGACACACTCATTCATTCATTCATTCACAGGAACACTCATTCATTCATTCATTCACAGACACACACTGCGGAGTGTGCAGATAGCAGTGCACTGCACACCACCCACACTCACCCCTTCACTCAGTCGTTCATTCACTCTCTGCCTCTGACCAGCCAGCCACAGGAAGGTTCCCGGCTGGTTGAGGGAGCAGACAGCAAAACAGAACTACCCTGAGAGTGGCGGGAGAAGGGAGAGGAAGGGCGGTAGAGGGAGCCTGGGAGAGGAGGCTGTCACTTGGTTGACCAGCAAGCACAGATGCAGCGGGGCGGGGTCCCACTAAGGGGTCCATGATGGACAAAGCTGAATGCTGGGTGGAGTTGGGTGTTGAACATAAGCTGCAAGGCTGAGTTAGCGTGCTTGAGTCAGCTGCTGGGAAACTGGGGACGGTGCCTTCCAGAGTCATTGGGTTGTTTTTTGGGGCACTCCTTCCTGGGGTGGGGGCCACTCGAGCGTGGCTCACTGCAGCAGATGGGAGGGCTTACGAGGGAAGAGCGTGCTTCCCCAGCCCCAGGAAGCCAGGATGTGTGTCCGGAGATTCATGCTCACTCTGCGCATCCCTGGGGAAGAGGCAGCAGCCTCTGGGCCCTCTCAGACTCCGGTGGATGTCCTCAGTCAATCAGGTCTGGCTCTCGGAGGTCTGGTAGCTCTCGGGGAGGGTGGGGCTGCTCTGGGGCCACAGCGGTCTCAGCAGCCTGGACCTGGGTTCTGGGAGAGGGAGGCATGGAGCAATGTCTACCCCAGGGGAAGCTCTTCCCCTCTTTTTTGGGACCCCGCATTGTGGATTCTGAGGCTTGGGTCTCAGGTGGGGTCCGGGGTCTTCCTCCCAGGGCTGAGGTTCTACTCTGTCTTTTTGCTGGAGTTACAATCAGAGCCTGGGCCCTGGTGCTTGTACTAAACCAGACCCAGCCACCATTTCCCGGTATGCCAGTTGGAGAGGCAGTAGCGACCACACTGGAGGAGGGACAATAAAGGGGTCCAGTGACAGCCCCCAGCTTATCTTTAGGGCTCTGACCTAGAACTTAGGCTCAGAGAAGCTCAGTAGCCATCCTGGGGTCCCTCGGGCTTTGGAAAGTGCATCGATCTGTTTTCTGTCTCTAGGGGTGGGAGAGGTGATTCATTTTAAACTCAACAAAATGACAAGGGGGAGGCTAAAAAAAAAGATAAAAAAACAGGTTAAAAAATCAGAAGAGAGGCTGGGGGCCTGTGGGGGAGGCCTGCTTTCCGGTGCTGAGGGCTGTTCTGGGAGGATGGCTGCTTCCTTGGGTTATCAGCGTCCCAGACATTCCCGTGAAACCAGGAAACCCTGAGGAATGCAGGCTCTCAGGGAGTACGGGGAGCTGGGAGCTTGGTGTGGGCGTGTGTGTGTGTGTGTGTGTGTGTGTGTGTGTGTGTGTGTGTGTGTGTGTGTGGTCCTACCATGCCGGGATTGGTCAAGCAGTTCCTTCTAGACCAGCTGTAGTTGCAGATAGGACTCTGGGCAAGAAGACAGGCAGACAGATGGATGGACAGACAGACAGACAGACAGATGACTGACCGACCTACCGCCCATGCTGAATTGTCCTGAGAGCTGTATCGTCCAGAGAGGGGTTTGGTGAGACTTAGCCTCATTCCCGGCTGTTCTCATGTTTACACAGTGCATTTTACATGAAACATTCTACTTATTTGTGTGTGCGTGTGTGCATGTGGTGGAGGTCAGAACCCAACCTTGGCCTTGGGTGTCTTTTTTTTTTTTCTTTCTCTTTTGGTTTTGGTTTTGCTTTTTTTTTTTTTTGAGACGAAGTTTCTCAGAGTAGCTCTAGCTGTCCTGGAACTCTCTGCAGATCAGGATGGCCTTGAACTCAGAGAGCCACCTGCCTGTGCCTCCTAAGTGCTGGGATTAAGGGCGTGTGTCACCACTGCCAGGGACTGGATGTTGTTCTTTAGTGGGGATGGGGTCTCTCACGCGTCTGGAGCCCACTGATGAGGCTCAGTTGGCTAGTCCATGCATCTCGGGGCTGTCCTTTCTCTACTGCCTCAGACTAGGAGTCACAGGTGGCGTTGCTACCAAGCCCAGCTTTCTACTTGAGTGTTGGGGACCTACTTCAGGTCCCCAGGCTTGCAAGGCAAGTGCTTTACAAACTGAGCAACCGCTCCCCAGCCCTGGAAGAGATGGCTCAGTGGTTAAAGTCATTTTTAGACCTCCCAGGTTCAGTTCCCAGAACCCAAGCAGCAACCCGTAGCCCGTAACTGTCTGTAACTCCAGTTCCAGGGGATCTGACGCCCTCTTCTGGCCTCCACGGTCACCGGGCACACATGAGGTACACATCTGTCCATCCAGAAAAACATTCACATGCATGAAATAGAATTTAAAAAAAGAGAGAGGGAAAAAGAAAAACAAAATGTTTAAAAAAGGAGAGCCTAGTGTATGTGGGAGCCTGTAATGCCAGTGTTCAGCGTGCAGGAGGAGGAGCAGAGCAGCCAACAAGCAGATGAAGTTAAGGGAGCGGAGCATGAGCATAGAGATCTGGGCACGGAGGCCCGAGCTCCAGTCGGCTCTCTTCGGTGAGCACCGTAGTCCTGCCTGTCCTGAGAAGCCTGGAGCAACGTCTGCTTCTCTGCTGAACCAGGAAGGGCAGCCAGGACAGGGTGTGGAGGGGGGGGCCTTGGGGAGCGAGTACCTGTCCCGCGGGAGCATCAAGAAGGGCCATCGTCATCAGAACGTGTCTGAGTCTGTAGGTGTGGACCCTGTGAAGCCTGGCTTGCTGTGAAAGTGGGCTGAAGGGAGCACTGAGCTGGATTGTGAAGAGTCGTTAACTCCGTGGACAGACGGACAGACAGACAGGCAGGCAGGCAGGCAGGCAGACAGACAGACAGACAGACAGACAGACAGACAGACAGACAACAGCATGGCAGGGGCTGTGAGGAGAGGAAGCCCCTGCTGCAGAAGTGGGGATCTCTTTCTGAGGATGACTGAGGCTTGACAGCCCAAGCCTGCATCCAGGCAAGCGGCCGGGAAGGAAAGGGTTGGGGGCTGGATGTGCGATCACCATTTCCCTCTCCATGTAAACTGGCTCCCCCAGGTGGGAAATCCTGTGCCTGGAGGTCCTCTAGCTAGGGACTCACGGGGGTCTCAGCAGGAGCTCGCGTGATCTGTGAGAGGAGGGGGCTGCCGCAGGGGGGAGGGGCTGTGGCCTGAGTGGCAGCAGGGTTCTGACATTACACCCTTGCAGACCATTCTTGCCGTGGTGTGTCCTTGGGAATGTCACTTTCCATTTCGGAATTTCAGTTCCCTGGGGAAGCTCCCGGGATCTTACTGGCTTCGGCTTTGGACCAGAGGCCATAGCTGCACCTTCTGTAGCCCAGGTGTGACAGATTCAGTCCAGTGCATTAGAATCCCTTTCTGGAACTCTCTTGTCAGGCCCAGGGTTGGCTGCAAGGATATGACAGGTCTAACGCTTACCAGTCTGTAATTGTGTACAACCCACCGCACTGGACAGTGAAACTGACTGGTGGGGGTCAGGGGCTTGGATGAGTCTTGAGTTTTTGTCTGCAGGCTGGCTGGGCCTGAAGTTTCTCAAGTGTTCCTCCCATGGCCCTGCCCCTGCATGGCTCATTCTAGGTCCCCTCCCTAACTTGTTGCCTTTCCCGTGTCCCGTGGATGCTGGTTTGTTTTCCCATCTGGGAACCGTCAGTCCCTGAAGCACCTCCCAGTAAAGCCACTTAAGCAGAAGCAGTTTGATATATATATATAGTTTTTCTCAAGACAAGGTCTCTCCATGTAGCAGCTCTGGAAGTCCTGAAACTCACTTTGTAGACCAGGGAGAAATCCACCTGCCTCTGGGATTCAAGGTGTGTGCCACCACGGCCCAGCTTAATATACAATTCTTTACCTCCGGCTCCATTCCCCACTTTGTGTTTTCATGGACCAGCCTGGACTCCAGAGTGAGTTTCCAGCCCAGCTAGCTCCAACTGAGTGGCTTTGGCTGGTTCCTTGGCCTATCTGTGCCCGGTCCCTTCGTAGAGACAACCGCCATAAGTGCGGTTCCAGAGACGGAATGAATGAACGACCCTGGCCTGTAGTAAGCGCCGTGTAATTGTAGGGTGTGGTTACACATGCAGCTAGGATTTAATGACTGATGGCTTCCCAAGCCCATGATGGAGGGAGGAGGGGGAGAGTGTAGCCCTGCCCCGCAGCTCCTGAGAGATGGACTTCTGGTACCCCGCATAGCCTCTCTGTGTAGCTGTTGGAGGATGCTCCCGCATATAGTGACTGGGGCTGCCCCAGTATCCCCAGCTACCACCGGGGCCAGGAATATCAAGAACACCGCAACACTGGGCTGGGGGCCAGAGGGGGGTCATGTGGAGCTGAGCAAGAGGGGTCCCCAAAACAACCAGGGAGTCTCCCAGGGGAGGGCCGGATAGGTGGAGGTTCTGCGCTGGCCCTGCTCGGGTCACAGGATCCTGTGGCTGCGGGGGGGGGGGCGGGGGGGGCAAAGTTGGCCTCGGCTGTGCCTGGGAGAAAATAAGAGCGGAAAGGGAAAAAATGAGTGAAGAGAGGGAGGAGGAGAGGCGTCCACACCGCTTAAATCACCACTGTTTTGCTAATGTTGTTCTGATGCCAGTCCTGCACGGAGGAGTCCTGGAGACAGCGGTCGCCCTTGGAGCCCCCAGGCTTAGGAGGAGCCAGCTCTGCATCTGGAGGGCGAAGGAAGACAGGGCAGGAGCACCCTGTGTGAGTATCGGGGGACTGGGCAGAGGTGCTGCAGGGAGAGTGGCTTTGTGGGGTGCTTAGATCAGGACTTGGCTTCCTGGTCCTGCTCCTGGGCAAGCCAGCAGATAGATCGGTTGCTTTTACATTCCAGGAGCTGGGGGAGCCTGTGGCGTCATCGGGCTCCTCTTGTTTGTTTGAGCAGCTCGCACATTTCTTGCGCCACCCACTCTGCTTAGATGGAGGCCAGCCCCGTAGGGGAGTTACCCACCTGGCCTCACCCTTAAGAGCTTTTGTCCCCAGGGCCCAGGGGCAGTGGAAGACAGAGAGGTCTGGAGTCTGGATCTGAGACTTGGATAAAGGGATGACGGGCAGCTTGAGTACCCAAGCATGGGAAAATCCCCACCATGGCATTGGCCACACTCTCAGTGTCTCCCAGCGCTGGCCACTGCGCAGGAGCTTGCCAGGCCATTTTTGCCAGTGGCACACACCTGCAGGGACGGGCTCCGCCTTCTGGATTTTCTCCGGCCTAAGGTGCTCAGGCTGGAAGCTCCGCTGGAGAAGCCGTGTGTCCCTCCAATTTAAGCTGTGTCTGCTGAAAGGGGGACCTCAGGCTGAGGTATGGCGGCCCCCCCCTTGAGTTTTCAGTCCATCCAGCTCACCCTCGGCTTTGGGGACTGGGTGTTACCTTACCGTGCCTGTTCCACCCTGTGGAACATAGACGTCACCGTAACGGCCTCTGAGCATCCCGTGAGGAAGTCCCAGACATGCTCAAGTCACATGGCATGATTCACAAAGCCACTTGTCCTTGAGAGCGGGCTCACGTGGCACTGCCCGCAAGGCCCCACACCACACGAATGGAGCTATGCTTTCTTTGGTTTTTTTGGAGGCTTTATTTCATTTTGTTTTGTTTGAGACAGCGTCTAACGTATCTCAGTGTCACCCTGAATTTGCTGTGTAGCTGAATATGACCCTGAACTTCTGACCCTCCTACGTAAACTCCAGTTCAGGGATTGGTGGTGTGCGCCACCCCCGCACAGGGCTGAGGGTCAAACCTGCATCGCAGGAAGGCGCCATCAGCCGCACTGCATTCCCCAGCATAAACACAGCAGCATTGCTGTCCTACGGATAAATCGCACCTACCTCCGTGCCCCTAGCTTTATGGGAGGCAGGCTTAGCTGAACTTAATCCTGCCAACCCTCTGCCTAGAAACCCCCTAGTGATTCTCTGGATTTCCCCCAAAGCCTTCCCAGCAGAATCACCTTTGCTACCTGCAAACTTAGCCTAAGAGGTGAGCCGCTCCTTCCTCTCAAGGCTCTAATGGAGAAGCCAAACGAATATAAGGGAGTGAAAAGGGCCAGCGCTCACACCCCATCTTGTGAGTCACTGGCCTGCACAGTGGCCAGGAAGGCACGTGCCATCCATGCATGGTGTGTACAGGGACATAGCCACCGGGTCACCTGGGCCATGCTCATGTAAGTGCTGGGGGAGGCCTGCTGCTTCAGAGGACCTGGTGAGCTTCCCGGAGTGTCCCAAGTGGAGGAAGACCTTCCAAGTGGTTGGCACCCAACTAGAGCTAATGACCCTGGCTTTGATCTCAGCATCTGTTAGGTTGCATATTTGCTAAAGCAAAAGTCAGGGACTTTGAGAAACCAGGGCTGGAGGTACGGAGAACAACTTGGGTGCAGTTACCGGCATCCTGACTGACAAAGCCCTGAGACACCTCAGCTCCTGATGCCAGCCCAGGGATGAGGGGCGCTCAGGGCCTGGAGGGGCCATATGTGCAGGAGAGGAGCAGGGGCCCCGCCACAGCTGGCACAGAGCCGCCTTTGAGGCTGGCCAGGAGCTGAGCTGGGCCCCAGAGAAAGCTTCCCAGACATGTGCACGGCTTCCCCCGACATCTGGTCCCCATGTTATTAGATAGGAACCCAAGGGTGGGGCAGAGGCTGACAGAGAGGAAATTCTACAGTGTTCCATGGGAGGGGTGATGTTCCCAGTCCAGCTCATTCCATCCAGACTCAGATGCCAGAGTCCCATGCGGGCTTCCTGAGCCAACAGCTCTTTCAAAATCCTTCTTATAAAAATAAAAACCAATACGCCTACCAGAAAGCACTAGGGAAAACATTGCAACACACATGGAAAAGGTAAAGTCCACACCATTAATACCCCCTAAAAAAGTTGGGTTGTGGCAGTTCAGGCCAGCACTCCAGTCCTTGCGGAGTGAGGCAGGAGGATGGCCGCGATCCCCAGACTTCTTATGAAATGAGGTTGCCGTCCACTGAACTCGCACATAAACATGACTGCACGCTGTCAGTGAGCATACTGGGAGTTCATCAGCACCACCAGCCCACAGGCCCCTCTGTCGTGGCTCAGTAATAACCCCCGCTGAGCCATGGACCACAAATCCATTTTTTTCTCCTTCCCCTCTTTTCCCCAAAGCCCCTCCCCACTGGTGAGCAACGCGATGTGTCGGACATAGATGCCCCTACCTAAGAGGGAGTGAAGTTGATCAAAGAGCCGTCTTCCTCCCTGAAGGAAGGCTAAGCGTGCAGCTGTAACGGAGACATACGCGGGGGTGGGGGTGGGGGTGGGCACAGCAGGGAAGGGGACACCCACTTAGCTAGCCAGATAGGTCCCATCAGGTGATCAGTGGGATGGCTGACAGGTGTCGGGCAGACCCACCTAGTATTCCCCTCTTTTTCTGTCTCTGTCCCCGCCCCCCCTCTCTCTTTCTGTAACTCAGAACAGGACTGAACACAGCTTTATGTTCTTCACACGTGCTGCAGCTCATGCTATTGCCACGCTTCAGGACACAGCGGCACACAGGTGTGGGTGTGGGGGTTTTCTAGATAAGACCTCAAAAGCACAGGCCAAACCAAAAATTAGAGAGGGGGCGTGGGGTGGAGGGAACGGGATTACATCAAGCATTGCAGAGGAGAGGCTCAACGGGAAGAAGAGCGATCCTACAGGGTAGCAAAACTGTTTGGATTATTTATCTGACAAGGGATTACCACCAGGGATTACTACCCACCCCTAAACTGTCTGATTTTTAAAACGGGCAGATAAAGGGTTAGCTAAGTATTATAGTACACACCTGCAATCCCAGTTCTTGGGGCACATGGGCAGGAGGATCAAGGGTTCAAGGTCATTGTCTGCTACAGAGCAATTTCAAAACCAAATCGAGCCAAACAGAAGAAAACAAACAAAAGGCAAGAGAGAGTGAAGATATTTTTCAAAAGTCAACAGTACACCTGACCTGATCTGTACTCCCCCAGGGAAATGCAAAACCTCCAGGGAAATGCAAATCCAACCACCGTGCGGTGTGTCACTCCACTCCAGTTAGAATGGCTCATATAAAAAAGGCAGAGGCAAGAGCTAGTTCAAAGCAAGCCTGGTCTACACAGCCAGCTCCAGGCCAGTCAGGGCTATGTAGCCGAGATCTGGTTTCAAAACAAAAACAAAAACAAACAAACAAACAAAAAACCTCATTGGCTGGGATATAAATGAGTGCAGCCACCATGCATTGTGAGCTTAGCACAAAGGTCTGGGGATAACGCCCCACCACCACGGCAAGCAGACTCTCAAAATAACCGTAGACAGAACCACCTGATGTGTGCGCATGTGGGGAACACGGGTCCCACAGGTGGCAGAAGGCATGGAGGGGGCTGATGGGTGGGGTGAGGGTGTCATCAGCAGAGGAAAGGGTGCCGGGGAACCACTGCACGGTACAGCGGCCGCCGGCGATTGTGCATGCTGTGTGTATCTTTAAAAGCTTGATGACAGGTTCTCATCAGAGTAGAGGAGACGCACACCTTCCCCCAACTCTGCAAGAGAGGAGTCGGGGGCAACAAGGAGAAGGAGTTCTGAGAAGAGAGGGAAACCAAAACAGCAGGGAACTGGAAAGAAAGCAGAGTCGACGACCAGCCAGACACTGCAGGCGTAAGGTAAGCCCGAGTGAAACCCAACCCAGCTGCCAACAGCCACCCCTGCAGACATCATGGCTGAGCGATCCACCTTCTTCCAGGCTTTCAACACAGCTTCAGGGATTTGCCCAAAGATGACAGGTGCATTGCAAGAGAAGGAGTTCGGGCTACAGTTCAGTAGACTCTCCGGCTGTAGCCGGAAGCTCTGGAAACCAATAACCCCATACAGCCATGAGTCAGGGTCCCTAGGGACATCTGGCTGTGTTGATTGATGGGAGGTGGCATGCCAGACACCATGGTGTTGGGGGTGAGTGACACAAAGATGCAAATCCGCTGAGGAGTTACGCAGTCCCGCAGTCCGCAGTCCGGGACTTGGTCTGTGATGGTGCTATGGGGAGCACCTGCCCCCCTCCCCAGCCCAGAGATGACTACTAAGACACAGTTCAAAGCCGACCTAGTCTTCATTCCATCTGGATAGGACTGCACTCAGGCATTTGGGATCCAAGTGTAGCACAAGTGTCCAGAACAAGGTGTTTTTGAAGGCAAAGCCCACACCCTGGCTTCTCACTTGACAGATGCAACCATGCACCCCAAAGGCTGTTGAAAACCAGTAGGTGACCATGGCCAGATTCTGGCTACTCCATGTTTACATGCTGGTAACACTGAGCCCATGTACTATTATTAAAAACCTCTGGGTAAAGTGACAGCCCTGGCCAGACAGTGCAACCTGTCCAGTGAAAATGAGGCGTCGATCTGCACTTCGCCTCAGTTTGGACTGTGCGCCCTGAGGGCTGCCGCCTCGGGCGTCACAACCTCAGAAGAGTATCGACTTAAAAAAAAACAACGGAGGGTTATTTTGGCTCAGGGTTTGAGGGGACACAGTCATTCATGGGTTAGGTTTCTTTCTTTTTTTTTTTCTTTTTGTTTTTTTATGAGACAGGGTTTCTCTGTATTATTTTGGAGGCTGTCGGACCAGCCTGGCCTGGAACTCACAGAGATCCACCTGCCTCTGCCTCACGAGTGCTAGGATTAAAGGCGTGCGCCACCACCGCCCAGCTAGGTTTCTTTCTCTAGTCTTCACATGTGTTTACATGTCCATGTACTCGAGCATGGGGGCGCGTGCGGATGTCAGAGGACAAACTCATGTCTCAGTCTTCTTTGCAGTCACGTACCCCAGGCTCGCTGGCCCATGAACTGCACGCGCTTCTGTCTCTACCTCCCATCTTTCTTTGCAGGAGCCCTGGGGGTTTATATGTGCTGCTGCGTCTGGCTTTACGTGGGTTCTGGGCATCTGAGCTCGGGGTCCTCGTGCTCACACAGCAAGTGCTCTGCCCACTGGGCGACTTCCCCAGGCCCTCACCGTGGCTTCTTGTTTTCTGCAATAACTTCAGGCATGCCCACCAAGGCTTCCCAGCTGCCACTCACCACCACCGCCAACACCACCACCACCAGTAGTTCTGAGAACAGCAGTTTCATCTATGACTACGACTACTTGGATGACCTGACCGTCCTGGTCTGCAGGAAGGATGCGGTCCTGTCCTTCGGGAGAGTCTTCCTGCCAATCATCTATGGCCTCGTCTTCGTGCTGGGCTTGGCTGGGAACCTCCTTCTCCTGGTGGTGCTGCTCCGCTATGCGCCCCGGAGACGGATGATTGAGCTTTACCTGCTGAACCTGGCCGTCTCCAACCTCCTGTTTGTGGTGACGATGCCCTTCTGGGCCATCTCCGTGGCCTGGCAGTGGGTTTTTGGCAGTTTCTTGTGCAAGGTGGTGAGCATTCTCTACACGATCAACTTCTACTGTGGCATCTTCTTCATCACTTGCATGAGCCTGGACAAATACCTGGAGATTGTCCACGCCCAGCCCCTCCATGGACGGCAGTCCCGGGTCAGGAGCCTGCTTCTCATCGCCGTAGTGTGGGCCACAGCCCTGGCCATCTCTGTCCCAGAAATGGTCTTTGTGCAGGCCCACCAGACCGCAGATGGCGTGTGGCACTGTTACGCGGATTTTGGCGGACACGCAACCGTTTGGAAGCTCTACCTGCGCTTCCAGCAGAACCTTCTGGGGTTTCTCCTCCCACTCTTGGCCATGGTCTTCTTTTACTCCCGCATCGGATGTGTCTTGGTCAGGCTGAGGCCTCCGGGCCAGGGCCGGGCTCTGAGGATGGCCACAGCCCTGGTGGCAGCTTTCTTCCTGCTGTGGTTCCCATACAACCTCACTCTGTTCCTGCACTCGCTGCTGGACCTGCACATCTTCGGGAACTGCCAGGTCAGCCACTATCTGGACTACGCGCTGCAGGTGACTGAGAGCCTGGCTTTCTTCCACTGCTGCTTCACCCCTGCACTCTACGCCCTCTCCAGCCGCCGCTTCCGGCGGTATCTGAAAGCATCCCTGGCTGCGGTGCTGAGACGGCACCAGGAACCTGACGCTGCCCATGCCCGGCCACCCAGCTATTCTGAGAGCAGCGGGGCTACTGCCCAAGAAGACGTGGTCAGCATGAATGAGCTTGGAGAGAGGCGGGCTGATGACCCCGTTGGCAAGGGGCATATGGGGGATGATCAGGCCTGAGCGGCCATGCCACAGTCTGGGAAGAGCTCCGCGCATGCGTGCGCTGTCTCTCTGGGGGCCAGCGCACAACTGCGCGACTGCGCTGTGTGCCCCAGTGGCTCTCAACCACTGCTCACTGCTGCCTCTTCCTCCATCTTCCTGGACCCCGTGCTGTCCGCTGAATCCCTGCAACCGTCTCCATGATCTCTGCCTCTATCCCGTGTGCTTCGGTGGCTCCCTGGGACCCCAGCAGCCAGGGAGGTGGGTCCATTCTTGGGCTTCCAGGGCCATGTGACCAGCCTACCACACTCCTCATCGCTACCACACTCCCTCCTGGTTTCCGGGTACAGGGCACACTGGCCTCCACTTGTGTTTCTGGGGTATCGCAGGCTCATCCCAGTAGGGAGAGTTCAGCTATGTCATCTTCCTGGGCAATCTTCCCCTTGGGAAGAGATTGGCGCATTCCTTCACTTCCTGGGGTCATCTTGTGGTTGAGGGGGGCCCATGCTCAACCAACTTAATTCCCTACCTACGTACCTGATGCCCTGGGTCACCTGCCTCTGCACTTACACTCAGTTCACAGACTTCCCTGTTTGTTGTTTTCACTGGTTACTGCTTTAAGTCCACCCACCCAGCTGAGCTGCAGAGGAGGCTCTCAGTGCAGGGCTCACTGCTGCACTCAAACCCACGCCTTGGAAGCTTGTGTATGAATGGAAGGCATTTAGAAGTATCTGTGGAGCAATGAGCTCTTTCTGTGAAGAGCCGCGGGCTCTCCACACACCAGGGCTGTCCAGACACCAGGGCTGTCCACACACCAGGGCCCCTTCTCTGTAACTCGGATGGGCATATAGCTTCCTGCCCTTGCCAGTAGTTCCAGAACTATAGCCTGAGGACACTGGAGATGCTGTAGCCAGAGAACATCTGGCAGGAGGAAGGCAGGGACCATCCCCGGCTCTGGCCTGATCTCGGGACCTTCCATCTTTCCCGGCTCTGTCAGTCAAGTTCAAGTCTTTATCTGAACTTTCCAAAACACACACTGGTGAGAAAGGCCGTCCTTCAACACATCCTGCTGGGAAAACTTTCTGTCCACACGTGGAAGATCAAAACCAGAGCCTGTCTCTCATCCGGCACAAAGAGCAGCTAAAAATGGATCAAAGGCTTCACTGTAAGACCTAAAGCTTGGAAACCCCCGAGGGAAAAGCACAGGGGAAGCAACTAAAGGCATCATCAGAGGCAAGGACTTTCTGAGCAAAGTTCCAGCAACCCAGGAAGTACAAGCAGAAACCGAGAGGCAGGGTTGCATGGAGTTGCCGTCTCTGAGGCAGGGGACAGTGGTCAGAAGAGAGCTTACAGACAACCTAACCTGGCTTATGCCTAACAGGGCCAACATCCAGACAGCAGAGGGAGCCAAAAACTCAAGGTCAAATAATCCAATGGGGGGAAAGAAATGGGTGAGTGATCTGAACAGACATTTCCCAAAAGAAGACCAGATGCTCCATAAATACACAAAACACTCTGCATTCTTGTCCACCGCAGAAACACAAATCAGAATGACGTTGTAACTCTACCTCCCGCCGGTCAGACAGCTGTTACCAGAGGAGCAACAGGAGCAGCAGAATCATGAACTCTGGTGGACAGGGAGGAAAAGGGACCCTTATAGCCTGCTGTTGGGTAAATTGGTACAGGTGCTGTGGGCAGTAATTTGTGGGTCCCTTAAAAAACTAAAACTGCTAAGGATCTGCCAGTCAGTCAGCACACTTCAGAGATATCACACACTGGGTTTATCATGCCGTTTTTAAACAATATCCAGGATAAGGGATCAGCATAGCTGTCCAGCAGCTGGTGAATAGACGTGGAAAAACACACCATACACACGATGCAGAGTATTACCCAGCCTTGAGGGAGAGGAGGAGGAGAAGCCAAAAAATGGACAGGGTTCTGGGTGCGTGAAGTGACATGAGCCAGACTTAGATGAATATCACTAATTTCCTCTGATTCATGGAAACAAAGACACAAAAGAGAGCACGCTTGGGAGGAGGAGAGGGGAGAGGGCAGAGAAAGGAAGGCCCGAAGGGTGAATTTGGACACAGCATGACATACGCATGTATGGACAGGTCACAGAGAACTCTGTAAGTCTACACAGGATGAGTTCATAACTACAACAATAATAGGCTATGCTTGACACAGAGGCCAGGACGTGTGTGTGTGTGTGTGTGTGTGTGTGTGTGTGTGTGTGTGTGTGCGCGCGCGCAGGTGCTCATGAGTATGTATGTGCCAGTGTGTGGAAATAAAAGGACAAGCACAGGTGCCATTTCTCAGGTGCCATCACCTTTGTTCTTTGAGACTGGGCCTGTCTTCGTCTCCCCAAGTTGCACTTGCGTGTGCACCAAGCCTGGCTCTTGACACAGGCTCTTGGGGTTGGACTCGGGTCCTGGTCCTCGTGCGGCGGGTGTTTCACTGACTGCTGCTTCTCAGCAGCACCCAGACATCGGCACCCTCCGGCTGCTCCATTCCCTGAACAGCGCCACTCCGTGCCGCCCTCTGCACACCAGCCCTGTCTGCCCTGCCCTGCTCCCTCTTGTAATAAAGCTTGCTTCTGGGCAGGTGTGCCCTCCCTCATCTCCTGAGCTAATCCCACTTGCTCGGGGAAGGTCACCCTGCTCCCGGTGGAGTCTTAGATGCCCTGATTTGGATCAGTGTACTCTGAGTCCCACGTATTAAAGGCTTGGTCCCGGGGTGTTGCTGCTGAATAGTGGTGCCACCTCTAGAAGGCGGCCCTGAGGTCACCGGGAACACGCCCCTGAAGGGAATGATGGGGCTCCAGCCTTGTCCATCCCCTTTGTTCTCCTTCGTGGCGTATGAGCTGAGATGTGTGCTCACTCCTGGCTGCTGCCTTCTGTTACAACCGCCAGCATCCCACAGCAATGCATCTTGGGCTGCAAGGCTACAGCCTCCTGACCCTGAGCCAAAGGAAACCTTTCCTCGTTGATCATTAATGACGTTGGGTCCTTTGTGGCGGTGACAAGAAGCTGACTAACGCACAGAGAAATTATAATTTTATATTTTCATGACCACAGTGGCCTAGGCAGAGTCAGTAGGACGAAGGCAGCTAGAACAGGCTGCAATAGAGGCAGGAAACTAAAACAGAGAGGGTGAGAGGCCTGGTGCTTCCCACTGGTGAAGCGTGAGAGCAGGAGGGGGTGAGAAAACTCTGGGGGCCTCAGAATCAAGGCTCAGCTGGTGCTTGTCCAGTTCCCCAGTGCTGGCTTGACCATGACACCCACCAGTACACACACACACACACACACACACACACACACTACACACACGTGTACGCACACCAGCATGCACACAGAGACACATGCACACCAGCATGCACACACACACAAATGCACACATGTGCGTACACAGAGATGCGCGCGCGCGCGCGCGCACACACACACACACACACACACACACACACACACACACACCGTGTGGGACCACACTGCTTTGTTACTTGTAACCTCAAGGTTCCTGACCAATCGATACTCCCTGCCGCCCAGTGCATGCTTGTCACTCTTCTTCAGGGATCCCTTCAGCCCCCAAGACTTCCCGAGGCCCACAGAACCCCTCACAGACTGCTCACAGCTCACAGCTTCTGATGAGCACAACGAAATACAAAGCATGGCACCCAGGAAAGGAAACTCCTAGTAACGTGGAGAGGAGAGTAAGATGGTGGATGGTCCCATTCCCAGACAGCAGACAGCTGTATGTATTCATTCCATTCACTGCTACCAGCGCTTGGAGTATAGCAGATGCTCACCAGTACTTCAGGGGGCATACTAATTCATTTTCTCATGGAGGCAGCATCAGCTTAAGGAAGGAAGGCTTAGCTTTTGCTCATAGTTTGAGGGTGTAGCCCAGCATGGGGGGCAGCATGGTGGCAAGAGTGTGTGGTGACTGTCACATTGCATCTACAATGAGGAGACAAGAGTGTGTGGTGGCTGTCACATTGTATCTGCAGTGAGGAGACAAGAGTGTGTGGTGACTGTCACATTGTATCTACAATGAGACAAGAGTGTGTGGTGGCTGTCACATTGTATCTACAATGAGGAGACAAGAGTGTGTGGTGGCTGTCACATTGTATCTGCAGTGAGAAGACAAGAGTGTGTGGTGGCTGTCACATTGTATCTACAATGAGGAGACAAGAGTGTGTGGTGGCTGTCACATTACACCTACAGTCAGGAGAGAGGAGTGTGTGGTGGCTGTCACATTGCACCCCCAGTCAGGAGGCAGACTGAGGTGGCACTGGTGCTCAGATCAGTCCTCCTTTTTATTCATTCCTCCCCTGGCCACAGGATGGTGGCACCCACAGCCAGGGCAGCCTTCCTACCTCAGCTAATCTAATCTACAAACCCTGTCACACAGGCCTACACGTTAGACTCTACTTCCTGTCAAGGTGGCAATAGTAGCCCTAACGGGATCTTTTCTTTTTTCTCTCTCTTTTCATTTTCTTCACCTCCTCCTTCCTCCTCTCTCCCTCTGCTCCTTCTTCCTTCCTTCTCTCCTTCCCTCCTTTTTTGATTTCTTTGTTTGAATGGATGCCTGGTGAATTCTGGTGAACAGAGCATTGACCAGGAAGGCAGTGTCCCATCCAGTTCTTTTCTCTGAGTTCAGCAACAGTGTGCCCCCCAGTCACATGCACGTAATATACATGCACACATATACACATGTGTACACACACCTATGCATTCATACACACAATCACACACATGTACACACATCTGTGCATTCATACACACAATCACACACACATACACACATGTGCACACACCTGTGCATTCATATGCAGAATCACACAATGCACACACCTGTGCATTCAAACACACAATCACACACACATGTTCACACACCTGTGCATTCATATGCAGAATCACACACATGCACACACCTGTGCATTCAAACACACAATCACGCACACACGCACACACATGTGCATGCCCAGTTGTTCTCTCATGTCCCTGACTTATCTTTGGTGAGTTTTTTTTTAATTCTCCACACCCACCGCTCTCAGCTCTGATGCCTTCTGGTCTCTCTGTCAAAGGCTCTAGATTCTCAATGTCAGGAGGACTCCAGGCTGGTAATTTGTCTGAGCGTTTCCGTCTGGGATGTCCATGTACATGTGTCTGTCTCTGATAGTATGCTGTGTGCGCTGTGTACAGTATATATATATATATGTATATATATGTGTGTGTGCATGTATATGTGTATGTGTGTGTGTGTGTACGTGGATCTGCTATGAATGTGTAGTTCTTTCTGACTGTGAACATGTGGGTGTGCACCGACCATCTGTGTACATGCACTGATCATCTTGGCCCTTCACCTTGCCTTGTGGGCTCCCGAAGGCCACATGCTCCACGGGAGGAGAGTTTTCCGGGGCGCTTCCCAAGCCACCTGCTGCTGAGAGCTCACAGTCCTGACTTGGGGACTCATGCCCTCAGTCTACTCAGTGTGTTCCCAGGCCAGGCTCCCGTTCCACGTCCCCGGGTATGTGGAGAGGGAGAGGACGCGGCAAGAGAGGCTGCCCACTTCCCCGCCCACGGAACGAGACGCGGGCTGGCTGAATGGGAGTCATACGCTCGCCATTATGACTTGCCGCTTTCCACCCCAACCCTCCTCTCAGGTCCCTGTCTGTCCCCTCTCCTTGTGTTCCTGGCCTTGAGGAAGAAGATAGGCCACCTTAATGCTCATGGCCAGGTAGAGGGTCTATCAGATTGACTTCATCATTCAAGAAAGGGGGGGGGGTCTGGGTCCAGAGTCACACAGCTAGTTGGAGACATCCTGTCCCCAGTTTGGACTCCTGCCTACTGTCCCAGCAATGCTCAGGGCAGGCTAAAAAGGACACAGAGAGTCACAGCTCTGGTAGCAACACCTGCCTGTTCTCCCAACCCGGGAGGCATATCTAGCCATGAGATCACCTGTGCCAAATGCAAAGGCAGAGATAAGCAGACATTACCATACTCTGATGGGCTCATTCCCTGGTTCTGGTGGTTCCAGGTCCCCTCCATGAGGAGACAGCCCCGGCAGAGGAGGCCCAAGGGCACGCACGCCTAGTCACGCTGGCCCCGCCCAGCAGAGCTGTGTCCCTTTCTTCATCCCTGCTCCTCTCCCCTCCTCCTCCCCCCCAAAACCCCCAAGGACAAATCCCTGATGGGCTTGAATGTGGGTCAGGAGCAGGAAGAAAAAACCAAGAGATTGACAGCCCAGGTGTGCTGGGATGTATAAGCAACGTTAGGGGGGTGGGCCCAAGGGCATTCTGGGATGGGAAGATGGAGATCGAAGAAGGCTTCTGGGAGTAACTGGTGCTGGGCTTGCAGGAAAAGCTATGCCTCTGCTTTGGGGACGGCTCCCCTGGAGAAACCCCGTAGAGACGAAGCAACTCGGGTGACAGGTGCGTGAAGGCGGCGGTGAGCCAGGATATGAAACGGTTGCAGCCAGAGGCACTTTTTGAAAAGGGCTTTGGACAGCTGTGTGAGTGAAGGGAGAGCGAGGGTGTCGGGCCTCGTGTGGAAACACGCAGAGAACACACAGAGGCGTGGGTGGGTCGGAAGCGACGCTTCAGAGGCATCGCAGGGCTTGAGCAGACAGAACTTGGCCTGTTTGTCTTCGAGGGAGGAGGTGAGGTGTTTGGTGTTTGCTCTGGGAAATGGGTGAAGGGAAGTCCTGGGCAGAGAGGCAGGGTGGGGGAGGGCAGGGAGCCGCTCACTGAAGTGTGGAATGGACATTGAGTTCTGCAGGGACCGAGCACATCCAGGGGGCTGGGAGGCCCCACAGGGAGCCACGGGGAGGAGATGCACAGGAGAGAGAGACAGGGGTACGGAGGAGGCCGCTGGAGTGGCCCCTGTGTCAAATGCGGCGATTCTACAGGCCTGGCCCCTGAACCCTTAGACTGTGGCTAGACCGCCTTCAAAAGCACTGCAGAGTTGGATGACGGGACCACAATAACACACAGCACCTGATGAGTTTCTTTGAAATTGTTTAAGTTCCAGCTCTTTGGAAACGTGCCAGAAAACAAGCCTCAGCTTTAACCCCTCGCTCCCTCCCAGCACGTCTATTAGGAGATTAACAATAGCACACATGTGCAGTAGCGGCACCCAGTAAAGCAGGCAGGAGGTTTGAGGCAGCCTCCGAAACATGCTGTCTGACTCATGGGAGCTCATTCTGCCCAGGATGAGCCAAGCCTAGCTGGACGACACCAGCTGCAGGCTGAGCTGTCCATGGGTCCTCCTCCCGAGAGGAGGGTCTGGCAAAACACATCAAGGAAGCGGCATGCTTCAGGGAGCATGCCAGCCTATGCCACGTCTCGGAGGTGAGAGAGTAATGATCCCAGGGAGAGGCAGGGGTGCCTCAGAGCCAGACGGATGGCCGTGGACCGCAGCCACTGAGGGCTTCAGGGTGTGGTCAGGCCCATGAGCTCACTGCATGGGCTTCAGGCGGTATCGGAAGCGCACCTCGTGGCTGGGCTGTGAGGTGCCGAAGCCCCAGCGCCTTGGGTCGATAGGGGGCACGGGCGTGTCAGGGTCCACCAGCTCAAAGTCATAGTACATAACCATAAGCAGGACGAAGATCTTCATCTCGCTGAGGGCAAAGAACCTGCCCGGGCAGATGGAGACGCCCGAGCCCCAGGGCATGTTGTAGTGGTGGATCTTCTTGCCCGACTTGTAGAAGTCCGCTTTCCGGGTGCCATCGGGGTTGAGGAACCGGTTGTACTTGAAGGCCTTGGGCTCGGGGTGGATGTCAGGGTCCATGTGCACTGAGAGGTAGGGGAAGAGAGCCACCTTGTCTCCACGGCGGATATGGTACTCCTGCCCACTGGCCATCTTCAGGAAGAAATCCTTCTGCACCACCCTGAGGAGGGTGGGGGTAGCTCCCAGTCTCAGAGTCTCCTCCATCACGCTGTCCAACACCGGGGTACATTTCAGGGCACTGAGCTTGAAGGCGAAAGACTTTTTGTCTTCCAGTCTGGCCTCGCCCAGGACCCAGGTGGCTTCCCCTTTCACGGCCTGCATGGCGTCCCGGTGCTTCAGCAAGAATAAGAGGGCCCAGAAACAGGTTGGCCCCGTGTTCCCCTGGGAGGCCCAGAGCATCATGAAGTTAAATTTGTCCTGCATGGACGAGTCCATCCCCTGCTCCCTCAGAGACTGAAGCATGCAGCCTAACCAGCTGCTTATGCCGTCTTTCTGCAGGTTTTGCTCCACGGAGAGTCTCTGGTGGAAGAGACGCTGGAGCCCACTCACTTCCAGCCACTCCCGGGGCCCCAGCAGGGAGTAGACAAACCTGGGGAAAAGGAGGTCAAACCTGCGGAACTTGGTGAACAGCTCCTCCGCCTCCTGCAGGTCCCGCTCCCTGTCCTTGGTGCAGCCAAACAAGCCGAGGAAGCCAGCCTTGAACAAGACGCTGTAGCAGAAGCGAAAGAGGCCATCTTCGTGCCAGGAGCTGGCACCGGGGCTCGGGCCTTTGGGCCCCAGCATCACCAGGGACAGACTGTCCAGCATGGTCTTGTTGAGGTCCTCCAAGCCTTGCCCCATCAGGTGCTTGGTACTGGCTGAGTGCACCATGTGGTGGTCCCCGTCCATGGACTGGTACCCAAACACCTTCTTGACCAGCTCCTGCGCATACTTTATGAAGTCCAGGGTTTTCTGTGTGTCCTTAAGGATGGGCCCGAAGGAGAGGGGGTCCATGACAAAGGTGAAGTACTGGCCCCCCAGCTGCACTGTGAACACATCCCCGTGCTTGGTCTGCATTCCCTTCAAGAACTCAAACATGTTCTTCCGGAAAGCCATGGCATGGCCCAGCCAGGGCACGAAACCCTTGTCCAGAGGCGGCTCCTGGGGCCTGCGGTGCCTGAGCAACGTGGACAGACACAGGCATCCCACGACGACCGTGAGCAAGGCTCCAAGCACAGGACCCCACAGCACCATGGCCCGGCTTCAGCTGAGCTCTGCGCAGCGTTGTCGGGCTCAGCGCTGCTCCTCAGGCCTCTGGTGCCGGGACCGCTTTATGTGGCCTTCAGAAGTCAGGAATGCAAAGGTCCGCGCGTCCTTGGACTTTGCTCCATGACTGTGAGATGGGGGTAAATAGCTCTAGTTAGCTGGCACCTGGAAGAACGGTGTTATTCCAACTTACCACACAACACAGCAGAGCCCCGGCCCAGATAAGAGGAGGAGGGGACGACCGTAAAGAAGGTAAAAGGAAAGCCTCGGAACAGTGGCCACGGCTTGTGTGGCTGCTGAGCACTTTGCTCTGACCTCTGAGATACAGATCTGACGCTGTCTCTACGCTTGCTTTGAGCCCATCCCTGCTGGCCAATCACACGACAATGTGCTTGCCGGCTCTCTCACCAAATGCACACGGCTCTTTTCTTATCTTAGACTAATTTTTTTTTCTTTTTTTGGTTTTTCGAGACAGGGTTTCTCTGTGGCTTTGGAGGCTGTCCTGGAACTCGCTCTGTAGACCAGGCTGGCGTGGAACTCACAGAGATCCGCCTGCCTCTGCCTCCCGAGTGCTGGGATTAAAGGCGTGCACCACCAACGCCCGGCCCTAGACTAATTTTTAAAATCTTGTATGTGTGTATGGGGGGGAGGAAGTACACGATCGACACTGGCATCTTCCTCTACTGAACCCTCACCCTTTTTATGTTGTTTTGTTCTTCGAGGCAGGGTTTCTCCGTGCGGCTTTGGAGGCTGTCCTGGAACTAGCCCTTGTAGACCAGGCTGGTCTCGAACTCACAGAGATCCGCCGGCCTCTGCCTCCCATGTGCGCCACCACTGCCCGGCTGTGGATCCTCACCTTAGTTTTAACATTTGCCACATTGATTCTTCCTTTCTTTTCCAAGTTTATTTTTACTTATGTGTAGGCGTGTTTGCCTGCTTGTTTGTGTGCACGCCACACGCAAGCCTGGTGCTGGTGGAGGCCAGAGAGGGCATTGGGTCTCCTGGAACTGTGATTGCAGATGGCTGGGAGCCACCTGATATGGGTGCTAGGAACTGGATTTGGGTTCTCTGGAAAAGCAGAAAATGCTCTTAACTGATGAGCTACTTCTCCAGCCTGAACTTTGAGCTCACTGACTGACTGCACCGGCTGGCCACTGAGTTCCCAGGGTCCTTCTGTCTCTGCCTTCCGTTGCTGGAGTTACCGGTATGCACCAGTGAGCCTGGCTTGTCATGTAGGTACCAAGGATTCAGACTCAAACTTTACCCACTGAGCTGTCTCCTTACCCCTTTCATTGTTAAGGCTCCGTTTTCTGATTTCCAGCAGGTGCCCATTCCAGGTGGTTATGGGCCTCACAGGACCTCTTCCTGCGTGGAAATAACAGCTCCCTCCCATTGGTGTTTTCGGGAGGCAGAAGAGAGAACTCACGAAAGACACCCAGGACAGTGCCTGCCTCAGCTTAGTATTCTCTTTATGTCAGCTCTTGTCATAAATCCTTGTCACATACTTTGGTCTGCCCCCCCCCCCACCGGTACCCATGGCAACTGTGTGTCCTTTTCTGGGGTTTTCTTTCCCTTTGGCGTTTCAGAGACACTTTCAGGTGAAGCAGGCTCATGCTGGCCACGTTTACTTCAAGCTTTCTGAACAGTCAGAGGCAGCGCACAAGCACGTGTGTCCATCCAAGGCGCCGGGCGGGAGGGCTCAGCAGTTGTCAGGGCGCTGACTCCATCATGGGGTGTGGTGTTAGCGGACCCATCCGTGGGAGCCAGAGAACTTCCTAGACTGCGGACCAGTCAAGCAGAGGCTCAGGCTCTCCTCCTAGAGCCCCTCGTCTGGACTTGCCCTCAGGGCCTTGCCAGTCAGTACAGCTCTCCAACGCAAAGATGGGATCCTGTGCTGTAGACAGTAATCTCAAGCTCTCGCCTTGTTTCCCGAGGGCTCGGGACACAGCGGGAAGACTATGGTAGACCCCCCCCTCTCCACCCCACGCATCATTCCCTCTGACAGGTGCTTGGCCTTGGGCTTTGGAAGTCAACCAAGCATTGTTCCAAGAGTCTCCATGAGATGTTAACCAGTTTCTTGCCACCAGGATTACAGAGCTGTAATCCTGAAACAGAAACTTAGCCCAACCCGTTGCTGCATTAGGCATGGCTGGGTTAGTTCTGCTGGCAGTATCCACACAGAACAGCTTGCATTCCAGAAGGAACACCAGCATTCATTCTGGAGTAAAATGTGAGTGACCAGGGCCCAGGAACACAGGTTCAAGTTACCCCAAATACCATGTTTCACTGTGGCAACAATTTAATAACGGCTTTATAGGAACGGAGAAAATGAGTTATATGAGTCAAGGCTCCCGTGAAGCACCTGGCGAAAAGCATTAGGAGGGCAGGTTAGTAGAGTGAAGGGGTTTCTGCTGTTGGCCTCCGGAGAATCTGAGGGCAGTTTCAGCTTTTGGGCGAGGGAAACTCGAGGGGTCTTCTTGTACACTCTGACAGGACCATGGGCAATGTGTAGCTACTTAGGGGCCAGCAAACCCCAAGGAGAGTTGTCTCTGGATCTGCAACATTACAGTTCCCCACGCCCACTAATGTGTGCTTTATGTGGTACCACAGGACGAGTGGTTTTCTTTTTCTGGAAGCTTCTAAACCATTCTCTAACTTCCTAACCCACGAATGGGGACTTTGGTTCCTTAGGCCCCACTGGTCCGTGTGCCCCGTTGTCTTCTGCCTTGAGTTCTCCCTGGAAAGGAGCAGGAGCCACCACCACACACTGCCTCCAGGAGGTCCTCTGTGGCTGCGGTCCCAGGAAGTACTTAAGATGCTCCTGCCTCCAGGGCTTGAGGGTGAGTCATAAGCAGTGAGCAGCAAGCTGAGACCTTCCCTGCAGTTTCCGTGCACTGAGCGCCATTTCCATTCCTGACTTTATGTGTTCACCCTTTGCTTCCTGGAGCAGCCTCATTTAGTCAGTCAAAAGTGTGTGGTGTGGTGTGGTGTGGTGTGGAGTGTGTTGAGATGTGTGTATGTGGGGTGTCTGTATAGCGTGTTGTATGTGGGTGTTTGTGTGAGTATGTGAGGTGTCCTCTGTGTGTGTGTGTGTGTGTGTGTGTATGTGTGCACACACGTGGTATGTATGTGTAGTGTGTTGTAATGAAACACCATGACAAAAGCAACTTACTTCATCTTCCAGGCCACACCCTCACTGGGCAGGGACCCAGGCAGCACTGAAGCAGAGGCCGTGGAGGAGTGCTGCTTGCTGGCTTGCTTCCCAAGGCTTGCGCAGTCTACTTTCTTACTCCACACGGGACCGCCGGCATGGGATTTCACTGCCCACGGTGAGAGGCCTGCCTCCCACGTCAGTCATTGACAAAATGCACCTCAGTCTTACCAACAGGCCAATGCCGGTGGGGTTTTCCTGTCCTGACCTCCTGCTCTCAAGTAACCGGTGGCCATTTCCCAAATAACTGCTTCGGAGACTTAACATAAATTATAAATGCTTGGCCAATAGCTCAGGCTTGCTACTAACTAGGTGTTACAACTTAACCCATTTCTGTTGATCTACACGCTGCCCTGAGGCTCGTGGCTTTACCTCTGTCCTTGACTTGTCGTCTGGCTGGCGGGCGACTCCCTTGTCTCCGCCCTTCCTCATCCCATCATTCTCCGGTTGGCTTTCCCCTTGCTTTATCCTGTTCCCCTACTGGTCAGTCGGACTGTTTGTCAAGGCAGGGGTAGTGACGTATATTCACAGTGAACGGAAGGAGGATTTCACAGCAGGCCACCCTTGTGGGCACTCTTTCTCAGATGGGGTCCCTCTTGCCAGACTGCTCAGGCAGCGGCTTCAGGCTGACAAAAACTAGCCAGGACAAGCTCTTACTGAGGAACACTTGCCAAGAGCTGGGAGCTTAGCCAGTCAGTCTCCGCAGCTGTGGAGGTGTTAGATCACTGTCCCAGATATACGAGCACAATCATGCTAAATAAAGCAGATAGCAGGATATGAGAGGAGGCGGGGCCTCAGGAACCACCACCATCAGGTGACAATGGTCATGTGATTAAGTGGAGGCGGGAGGACCAGACCAGGTGGCGCTGCTTTGAGGGTGATGGCGTTAACGGTGGAATGGGTGTGTGTGTGGGGGTGTTCAACCTAAGGAAAACAGCTCTCAACCCGAGTTGGAAAAGAAATACTTTATTCTGGAGACAAATGGGTGGCCGTCGTCCCGGAACACAGATTCAGGTCACCTGAGAATTGATGTTTGGATGTGGCAGTGGTTTTGTAACAAAGGTTTTAATAACCGAGTTTTTATAACAAAGACCATGACCCAAGATACTTTCTAGACACCTGGTGGAAGGGTTAGGAGGTAGGCTACTGCCGAGCGGGGACGTCTTTGGGGACATATCTCTGATGTACACCTCAGATGCTACCAGGCAAGGCCTTTAGCTTTTGGGTTGGCGGAGGCTGTGGTTCTGCTCGTAGACTACAGAAGGTCTTACTGGATAGTCACCTATTATTCCTACTAGGCTGTGCCACATCTACCAGGTGGCAGTGAGGTCACTGCAGGACGGGAAAAGGCAAAGATGGGCTCTTCCTTTAGCCCTGCCACCTACTTACGGGGTGGCCAAGGCCAGTCCATTCAGTATCTTTGGGCATGACAGGTCACAGCAGAAGGCTGCCTTTGACATTCTTGTAAGCAATGCAACGCTGTTGCAAAGGGGTCAGGCTGTCCATTCAGTGAGAGGCCGAGAGAACCAGGACATGCTTTGGAGAGGCTGGGAGCCGGAACGGCTGTCATTAAGTCCCGGTTCTGTGCGTGACTCTCCAGTGGTCATCCCCGTTGCCACTAGGAACCAGGAACCTCCTCCATGGGCTCCAGTGCGTAAGCAGATGGCTCCCAGTCGGCCGCACGGTTTGGGAGGTCCCTGCAGCCTTGCTGGGGGAGGTGTGCCACTGGGGGAGGTGTGCCACTGGGACGGAGGACTTCGAGCTTGCAGCCTCACCCTGCCTCTTTCTCACTTCTTAGACTGCGGATGTGAGCTCTCAGCTGCTTCCCGCTTCTGCCCCTTGTTGCCAAGTCTCCCCGCCGTGGCAGACCCCCGACCCTCTGGAGCAGTGAGCCAGAGTAGCTTTCTTTGCGAGTTGCTTTTGCTTGTAGCGCTTCGTCACAATACAATCACCATCCTTTTTTAATTAAGAAATTATATACAGCGTCTGTTTACGGGAGGGGGCTCATGCATGTGAGTGCAGCGCCTGCGGAGGCCAGAAGAGGGCGGGAGAGCCCCTGCAGCTGGAGTTACAGGTAGCTGTGAGCCACCCAGCTTGGGTGCCGGGTGCTGAGCTCAGTCCTCCTGTTGAGCAATACACATTCTTAACCACCGTGCCATCTCCCCAGCCCGTCATTATTCTTATTTTCAGAAATTATGGTGTCCTAGGTATTATGCTCAGTGCTTTGCACATATTTACTGACTTAATCCTGGTACTAGTTTGTGTAGGGTCTCCCCATGGCTACCCCTACATCAGCGATTCCCAAGGAGAATTTATGGGACTTTGTAGGTAGTTGTAAGGTTTTTTCAGATATGGAGCGAGGACCCATGCCCAGATGGTCAGGGGGAAAACAGACAGATAGAGGCCGCAGGAATCTGCACACAGGTCGTCTATACTTCCTCCCTCCATGAGAGATCGCGTGGACACACTCCACTAGCAATGGAAATACAGTAACATGCCTGTTATGCTTATGCCCAGGGAGGTTCCTGGAAAGACAGTGCCTAAGGTTTCCATTCGGGGAGCAGTCACATACGTACCCTCTGCTTATCCCATAGCCCAGTTCCAGACTCCCAGAGAAAAGCATGGTTAGATACATTGTGTAACATGTGTAGGCATAAAGTGAGGCCACAGTTGATTAAATGTTTACTGGGGACACAGAACAAAGTTCCTGATGCTGGTCAACAACCTGCTTTGAAAGCAGGTCTTTGTAGGTCTCAGGCCGGCTGGATACACGTTGACGCTGTAACTGTTCCCTGTGCAGAGCAGTTCTGGGCGGTCCGGTCCGTTTGCCGTTTTTCTTCTTCACCACTGTCTCCTCCATTCCTGTCAGCCCTCTGCACTTGTTCTTTGTCTAGAATGTTCTTCTGTCTCCTTGAATGACTAATGCCTTCTTACCATTCAGGCTTCAGTCTAGAAAGATCTTCCCTGACGGTGGCCTGTGGCATGCCTACCCACTGAAGGCACTTGATGGCGCACTGCTCTGTCGTGGTGTCTCTCTGTGCAGTCAGCCCACAGGTTTGTTTTTGCTAACCCTTCCCTACAATTGGCATTCAGGAGAAGAGCCCCGTGCAGTGTTTGCTCATCTCTGTTGTAACCGTCCTCACTGGAGGAGGATTTGCAAGGTGTGTGTCATTGATTCCCTGAGTCATTATGAGTCATTGCCAAAGTAAGCTTTTTGTTTTTCGAGACAGGGTTTCTCTCTGTAACAGCCCTGGCTGTCCTGGAACTCACTCGGTAGATCAGGCTGGCCTTGAACTCACAGAGATCTGTCTGCCTCTGCCTCCTGGGTGCTGGGATCAAAGGTGTGTGCTGACTCTGCCTGGCCTGAACAAACCCCTTAAAGGAAGCACTGGCTTCGGAACTGCACCCTCCAGCCCCGGCACTCCACCTGGCACTAAGCAAGGGTTCCAGAAGCATTGGCCAGGGAGGGGATCTTCGTCCACGCCGCCTCTAACTGCTGCCGCATATGTTCACGTTGTGCAGATAAGAATCGTGGGCACGAGAAATGAAGACTGCTCCTTCAGGTGCAGACAGAAGCAACAAAACAGCCGTTGCTATGTGGGGGGGCACAGGAACCTAAACGAGGAGGAACCAACCAGAAAATAACCCATGGCTGAGTGTGGCGGAGCACACCAGGTGGAACACTTGGGGTTAAAAACCATTCTTCAGAGAATGGTTGACAGCTGACCAAGAAGATTGGATAAGTGCGCTGTGAAATGGGCTCCAGTGAAAGCAGCGTGAACCAAGTGCTGGAGTGTGAGCAGTGTCCCGTCTCAGGAGGGAACAAGCACGGCCACAGCTCACGCTGTTTGTTGGGAGCCTCAGGCAGAGAGGTTCCCTTCAGCGGTAGGCACGGCTGACTGGGAGTGAGTGAGTGCTGAGTCTTCACTGGAAATGGGGCATCGATGTCAGCACCCACTCCAACGATGTCCGGGGGAACATCACAGAAGAGCCGGAGGGTGGGAGGAGGGCGGGGAAGCGCCGTCTTCTGGACGACAAGACCACCGCATTGGCAAGTGCACAGTGGCTGTAGTTGTCCGCACAAGCTCAAGCTGTCGAGGCTCCGTCCCAGCTGAGGAGCCGCGGGGTGGCAGTCGACAGCTTCCGGTGAGGGGAGTCATTGGCCCCCCCCCCACTGGGGTTGTGGCTGTTCGTAGGCTGCCCGTGCGCCCGTGGATGGCGCCGCACCTGTGTGTGCTCAGACACCACTAGTTGGGCTCGGTGGGTCAAGCGGTGGCTTGACAAGTACTTGCTGCCAAGACTGAAGGAGGAAATGGGTTTCTGAGAGTTGTTCTCTGACCCCCTCACGTGCGTTGTTGTGGCACGCGTTGTTCCCGCAGAGTGAATAAGTAGACGTTAAAAAGATGAGAGAGAGAGAGAGAGAGAGCACGAGGGTGTGGGGCTCAAGGGAAGGGGGGTTATCATCGGGTCATGCTACACGCATGTGTGCAACTATGAAATAATAGATAAAACACTAACTTTAGAAGGAAGAGGGATAGGGTTGGAAGGTGTCTATGGACGATGAGTGTTTGATGGACCTGTGAGGTCAGGGGGTGGGCAGGAAGATGTTGCTGTCGGGGAACAATCTGGGAGGAGGGTCTTAAAGGAGCCATTGAGGAAAGCCCGGCCCACGTGGCCAGCAGGGCACCTCCTGACTGAAGCCTGGACTTCAGTGGACATCGGGACGCCCCATCTGGGAATCTGGCCTCCAGTTCCTCTGAGAGCGAGTCCTCAAGGGAGCAATGAAGACCGTGGCAGCCTCAGAGGAAGAAGCCTTTCAGGGCCCTTGAGGCAATCAGAGGAACTAAATGTCCCCACCCCCATCCCATGCAAGAAGCTCTGTGAGGTGCTTGTTGTTAGGCAACATTTCCAGAAGCAAACACTTTCGTGGGGTACTTGAAGGCCCAGGAAACTTGCTCCTCCATATAGAGACTGGAGTTGCATCTACTGGCTGTTTGGTGATACATTCTGTTAACCATTATTATCCTTGGGGTTGCTGTGTTCTGGCAGAACAGCTGGCAAGGTGACTTGGTCCAATGCTGCAGTGTCTGGGACTCAGTGGGTGGGTGGGGCTCATCTGATGGGGAGACGTGTGCGGGTCACCGTGGCAGCCATGTCTTATCTCCAGGAACAGGATGGAGCAGAACTGTCAGGGGCAGAGGGCAGAGAGAGGAAAGGGAGACTGGGTTTTGTGTCTCCTGAAAGGAAGGGCAAAAGGAAGGGCGTGCTATGTGGGAAGAGATGAACAAAGCTGTCTGGGCGGTTCTAAGAGCGTGTTACACAGCAGGTCCCATGAGAACACGGCAGACGCTGGTATTGTGGGAGCGCAAGGCACCCTCACCTGGACAGTGGTATCGGCAGGACTGAAGTGGCCAGCCCTGGAGCTCTGGCCACTTCCCAGGGAAAGTGCCACCTGCGTTCCCACAGCCCGAGCTGGTTTCAGTCTTCTTCGTGACAGTGTCTGCCCAGCTCCATGACAGGCATGTGGCCTGTGTCCGCCTGCTTGCTGGGTCCAAACTGCACAATAAGGACCTTGTCCTCCGAGTATTAGAGCTCTGTGCTGTGATGCTGGCAGCTGCCCTGGTAAGAG